GTCTCTCTCTCTGTGTTTCTGTCTCTCTCTAGTAGTGTCTGGCAAGCTCCCGGAAAGCACCGTAAGAATGAAATTCTTCGTTTATTTTGATTTTTGAGATTTAATCTTTATTTTATGTGCATGGGTGTTTCCCCATATGTATGTCTGAGCACATGTGTGGTATGCCCTCGGAGGTCAGAAGAGGGTGTGGAATCCTCTGGACATCAGGTAACAGATAGTTGTGAGCCTCCGTGTGGGTGCTGGGGCTCTAACCCGGGTCCTCTGGAAGAGCAGCCTGGTGCTCTTAACCCCTGAGCCATCTTTTCAACCCTCAGTTCTTGGTCCCAAAGTACTGAAACTTCGTCAGTACTTTTCTCTCTCTCGGGTCATCTTACTCTTGTTCCTGATTTACCAGTCCCCTTCCTGATGGCCCTGGGCTCTAAGAGGGCTGGCTGAAAAGATGGTTGGACATCTGTTGGTGGCTGTAGCCACGGGCCATGTGTGCAAGTATTGGTGCTTAATTCTGTGCATCCGGCACCCCATGTTGTTGCCTCCGGGCTCTAGCAATGCGGGGGGCGGGGGGGGGCTCCGGGCTCTAGGAATTCCGGGGGGGGGGGGGAGAGATCTGGAGAGATCACAGATTGAGGCCATGCTTCATGTCTTTCCTGTTGGGACTTTAGTGAGGAACGGTCTCTTGAATCATTATAGAAATCCTGCTGTTGTGACTTTCTTCTTCCAGTTTGACTGTCATGGCTAGGAACTTGTAGTGACAGACTCCACAAGACAACTCCCTTGTCTCCCCAGGTAAGAGGGGAGAGTCTCTTCTTCTGTGGGAAGTCATTCATAATGTAACTCCTGGCCAGCAAGCTGCATGCCTGCCCACAAGCCTGCCGAGGAAGGTAGCTGCTGTGGTGTTTACAGGAGGTGCTGTACGCCGATCTCCTGGGAGCAGTGTGGTCACCCTGAGGGCCAGCTTAGCCTAGCCCACCCTTCAGACTCTGGTAGGGCCTCAGGGCTCATTTACATCCTCCGTGCCTGAGGTGTCAGGGGTTTTCCGGGCCTGGGCTGCAGGTGACAGGAAGATGCGAGGGGCTATAATGAATAGGTGTTGGCCACCTTCACCCCTGCAGCTTGTGAGCCTCGGGACCACGCTGGCCTCTGTGGATAGGTACAAGCACACTTCGAGAAGTTCCTGCAGAAGGCCAAAGCCAAGCCCAAGCTGGAGATTTTAGTCTCCTTGGACCTCCTAGAGGAGCTTTCCTTCTGTTAGCGCCCAGGATACAGGGCTGGCTTCTCAGCGCAGCCAGCAGCTTGGAAAGAGGCCAACATCCCTGTTTAGGAACTGGCAGGAACTCATTAAAATCTGAGGGCACGCCACCTCTGAGGCCTTTTACTTTTTTTTTTTTTCTTTTAATTCCCTTTTTGCAAACTCCTTCCTTGTTCTTTGTGAATTTTATACAGCATGCTTTGGGCATATTCACCTTCTTCCCCCCAGTTCTCAGGTTCCCCCGCTTCCCTAGCCATCCACCTTTGTGCCCTTCCTCCAACTTGAGGCACTTTTAGTTAAAGAATAGTTTTATTTTGACTTGGGACAGGGTGCTAATACTGGAAGGTGCTTCTTTCACACCAAATCCAGCCCAGACAAGCTTTTCCTCCTAAAAGATCCCTGGGGAGCAGACAGACATTCAGAGAGCCAGGACAGGCCTGGCCTCCCCCAGTGCCTCCCCTTTCTGTTTTGAAACACACTCTTGTCCCTGACCACAAAAGGCCAGAGCAGTGTGTAAGAGCCGGTTCCAGAGGGCTTTTTAGAGTGCGCACACCCCACGCTCCATTGCCCAGTCCTCTGGGACTGGCCTGTTTTGAGCAGCTAGCTAGCCCTGGCTTCCTGACCGCTCAAACTCTCCAGACCCAGGGCTGGACCCAAGAAAGGCAGGAACCTAGATGCTGAGGCCCTTGTCTTTGTATGAAATGTGAAGATGGTGGTTAGGTTAACCGTGGCATGCTAACTCTGGGGACCTGGCTCTTTAAACATCTTCTCACTTGACAGAGGGAAAGATTAGCTGATGCCCATTAAGAGCCCCTGGACCGATAAAGTGTACTCGGGACTGACTAATCTCTTGACTTGTTCTTATCACAGCTCCTCTGTACATGTGTGCTCAGGCTTCTGAGTCTGCAGCTTGGTGCCCTTGACCTGTGCTGCAGAATCTCGTTCCCTCCGGCTGCGTCTCAGCCTACCCTCTGTGGCTGCCTGGAGTCCCTTTCCCAGCCCCCTGCTCTCTCCTCTACTCAGCCTGGCCACCGGGATTTTCAGTTCCGCTTTTATGTTGCTGATCCTTTTGTCTCCAGCCCTCACTTCAAGCTCAGTGCAGCCAAAACTGGCCTGCTAGCCTCACCTGTCCTGTTTTCTGTCTCCACAAATGGTGAGACCATCCACTCAGAATCTAGTGAGAGTAATCCAGCTTCTCATTCGCCTCACGCACACAACATTCACAGACCAAGTCCTAAATAAGCTTCAGATCTAACCTTCCTTCTCCACTCGGCTGCTGGGGTCCAGACAGCATCTTTGCTGAATGAAAGCCCCGGCTCAGGGGTCCTGGTCCACTGTCAGGTCTTAGCTTTTGCTCTTCTAGACACACACAGTCATTGAGTCTTGGCCACTCGGGCTCAACGTCAAGGTTTCTGCCTACTGTGACAAAGCTGTGGAAAGCTGACTCTTCCACAGGCAAGGCAACACACTCTAGATCCAAGGCCATTTTTATAACTCTGCCTGAACGAGTGTTAGACTTTTCCCAATCTGAAAGCTCTATTGCTAATCCCTATGAGGAAATGAGAATGAACAAAGAAAGAAAAGGGTGTGTGCAGTTTGTACAATCTGTACATCTTACAGTCTGTCTGATGTGATTTCTGAAATGGGGTTCTCTGGACTTTTCCTAAGTGGCTTCTGGCCTCCGTCATCAGCCTCTGAAGGATGCATAAAGTTAGATGATCTTTTGGGCTCAAATGAGTCATTGTGTCTTTGAGGACCTCTTGATTCTTCTGGTTCTCTCAGCTTCTATCCAAACCATAGTAATCCCACCTCAAATATGCTAAGATGAAATGCAGGCACATTGTGACACATTGTAGTCAGCCTTCTGGATCTGTGGTTACTTGTCTGCAAATTCAGCAAAACTCATTTAGAAAACCTGAAAAAGAAAATTCTAGGAAGTTCCTAGAAACAAAACTTGAATTTTCCCTGAACCCGATGCTATGCTGCGTCCATGTGAGCAAGGGTTGTGTGAGCGCTACACTAGGTATTGTCTATTATCTAGAAACAGAAAAGGGTGCATAGGAAATTGTGTATAGGTTATATGCAAATATTAAGCCATTTTATCTAAGGAACTTGGGCTTCTGTGGATCTCAGTCATCACCTGGAGGTCCTGGAACCAGCCTTCCACCATACTAGTGAACAACTGAACAACTGGTTTTTATTATCCACTGTGTTTGAAAACCAACATCTCCAAATGAGCTAATATTAGTTAACACCGACAATCACAAAATCCCCTGACAATATATTTCTGTTTCATTATTTCTGGATTTGTTCAAGGACTTTGCTTCCTTTGTCTTTGGATTCCTCGCTCTATGGGATGTGTAGTAGGTGGTACCCAATAAACGTGGGATACACTGAATTGATTTTTCTCTTCATATTAGTCAACGGTTGCTATCCCTTTCTCCTCTGCAGAATGAAGACATTCAGATGTTGCTGTAAATACACACTCCAGCAGAAGATCTTCGTCCTCTTCTTAACGCTGTGGCTGCTCTCCTTGTTAAAGCTTCTAAATGTGGACCGGCTCCTCTTCCCTCAAAGAGACATTTACTTAGTTGAATATTCCCTAAGTACCTCCCCTTTTGTGAGAAACAGGTTCCCACCTATCAAGGATGAAGTCAGGTATGAAGTTAACTGCTCAGGGATCTATGAACAGGAGCCTTTGGAAATCGGCAAGAGCCTGGAAATCAGAAGGCAGAACATCATCGACTTGGAGGACGGCGATGTTGTGGCCATGACAAGTGACTGTGATATTTATCAGACCCTGAGACGGTACCATGAAAAACTCGTTTCGAGAGAGGAGGAGAGCTTCCCAATAGCCTACTCACTGGTCGTCCACAAAGACGCAATTATGGTTGAAAGGCTAATTCATGCAATTTACAACCAGCACAATCTTTACTGTATCCATTATGACCTTAAGGCACCGAACGAGTTCAAAGTTGCCATGAACAACTTAGCGAAGTGCTTCTCCAATATTTTCATCGCTTCCAAATTGGAAGCTGTGGAGTACGCCCACATTTCCAGGCTCCAGGCTGATTTGAATTGCCTTTCAGACCTTCTCAAGTCTTCAGTTCAGTGGAAATACGTCATCAACCTATGCGGGCAAGACTTTCCCCTGAAGTCAAATTTCGAATTAGTGTCAGAGCTGAAGAAACTCCAAGGGCAGAATATGTTAGAGACAGTGAAACCTCCTACTGGTAAAATGGAAAGGTTTACTTATCATCACGAGCTCAGACCAGTGCCTTATGAATATATGAAGCTTCCGGTGAGGACAAACATCTCCAAGGAGGCGCCTCCTCATAACATTGAGGTGTTTGTAGGCAGTGCCTATTTTGTTTTAAGTCAAGCATTTGTTAAATATATTTTCAACAGCTCCCTCGTTGAAGACTTTTTTGCTTGGTCTAAAGATACATACTCTCCTGATGAGCACTTTTGGGCTACCTTAACCCGGATACCAGGAATACCTGGAGAAATTTCCAGATCAGCCCAGGATGTATCCGACCTACAAAGTAAGACCCGTCTGGTCAAATGGAATTACTATGAAGGCTATTTTTACCCCAATTGCACTGGATCACACCTTCGAAGTGTGTGTATCTACGGCGCTGCAGAATTACGGTGGCTTATAAAGGAAGGACATTGGTTTGCTAATAAATTTGATTCTAAAGTGGACCCTGTCTTGGTTAAATGTCTAGCAGAAAAGCTTGAAGAACAACAGAGAAAGTCGATCACTTTGTCTTCAGAAAAGTTCATTACAGATAGAAATCCCAGTCACACGTTATCATAAGACCACCATGGAACTGGGAGTATCTGATACAAAGAGTTAAGTAAGATGGAATTGTGGATCCAGGTCTTGCCCAACACCATCTGAACTTAAATACTTTTCCAAGGTTGAACCTTCTATAAAGTTCCATGCATGGACTTTGAGTCTGCATGGACTTTGGTTTTTAAATGCTGGTTTTGCTTGTCGTCTTACTAAGTCAGAGATCTTAAATGTTTAGTGATATCACATTTATTGAGCACCTAACGGTGCACCAGGCACTTTATCAAAAGACACGCAGCAATTAACTCTAAGTTGTAATGAAGTATGCCCTCAGGAAGCAGTGTTTACCCTCCTGATGTTCAACTGTGGTGTTTTCGTGTGTCCAATGTCACAGGGAACGTGCTACTGAAGATGACTTTGGGGTATGTGCTCATCACAGGCCTCTAGTCCCTGAAAGGGTGTGAGGATGAAGCCAGCACCCTACCTGTTTCTTAGTCTGGCAACCGAGATGCTTTTGAACTGTTAGACTCTTAGGATTCCACTACCTCAGAGAAACTCCAAGAACTGTCTGGTCTCCTGCTTGCCAAAGTATAACTTACCTTTTGGGGCCTCACCTTTTGATTCAGGGCGGAGGGAAGGCTGTTGGTGTGAGGATTGTCTGGGAAGGCAGATGGGCGGCCGGTAGGTGGGTTGGGACAAGTAGTGCCTGAGGAGGCACAAGGGGCTTCTTGATTCATCTGCATTTGCTACACAATGGTGTCATGAACGGCTTCCTTTTTAATTCACTTGTTCCTGAAAACACACGCACTGATGAAAATATAAAACTGAGTACTAGTTCAGAATGTCGCACAGCAGAATCCCAGGCCTAAGCCTCTCGTTTTATATGTGAGCATTATGGATGAGACTGTGTCCTTGCGACAGTGGGACACTTGTGATGAGGTTGATAGTTCTGTTTTATGTTGTTTTGGTGATGGTGGTGGTTTTTGGTTTTTGGTTTTGCTGGGGGTGTTTTGGTTTTTGGATTTGGGTTTTTTGAGATAGGGTTTCTCTGTGAAACAGCCTTGGCTGTCCTGGAACTCACTCTGTGACCAGGCTGGCCTCGAACTCACAGAGGCACCTGCCTTTGCCTCCCGAGTGCTGGGACTAAAGGCGTGCACCACCACCACCCGGCTGTTTTGTGTAACTAAGCCAGGGAGTTTCCTTAAGAACACTTTGTGAAATATGACAGAGCTTTCTCACTTGGCTCTTGTGATCACTTATACAGTTTTCTTTTTCAGCAAAATGGAATCCAAATTCAATTCAAAATGGTAAACACTCCAAGTTAGTGTAGCATTTTTTTTAACCAACCAAGCACCAAAGGGAGTATTGTTTTCTTTATTTTACAAATTCTCACACTTAAGAGAATCATTTCACACACACACACACACACACACACACACACACACACACACACATACACACACATGGGTGGGTTGGGGGTGGGGGGAGGCTGACAGACTGACGGACTGTATTGTGTGTTGTGTTTCTGAGGCAAAGCCCTGAAATCAGGCTGCGACATTTCACTAGTCTCTGGGGAAAGTGGGACACATGGAAGCATTCCTTATGTTTTGATGTCAGCCCCAGTAACTACTTAAATATGTAATAATCAAGGCCGAAATAAGACCGTTGGAAAGACTGAAGTGCTTCACTGTGTTTTTAAGTTTCTGTGCTCTGCATGTGAGCACAGATGCAGTGTGCTTGGCCTGTGTAACCGTTTATGACACTAACTACCCCAGGACACCATTTTTGCTTCATTCCTTTATCTTTTTTCCTTTTTGGTTTGGTTTTTCAAGACATAGTTTCTCTGTGTAGCCCTAGCTGTCCTGGAACTCTTCCTGTAGACGAGACTAGCCTTGAACTCACAGAGATCTGTCTAACTCTGCCTCCTGAGTGCTGGGGTCAAAGGTGTGCACCACCACCACTTGGCTTCATTTCTTTTTTTTTTTTTATCTTAAACTCACTTTCCACCTCTTTTGATACCCTTTAAATTATTATATTCCCCAGAAAACACTTGTTACCAAACCTCTACCACTAAAGATAAGTTTCAGAGGAACTGGAAAGTGTCTCAGCAATTAAGAACACTTGCTGAAGGGCTGGAGAGATGGCTCAGTGGTTAAGAGCACTGACTGTTCTTCCAGAGGTCCTGAGTTCAGTTCCCAGCAACCACAAGGTGCTCACAACCATCTGTAATGAGATCTGGTGCCCTCTCTGGCCTGCAGGGACACATGCAGGCAGAACACTGTATATATAATAAATAAATAAATCTTTAAAAAAGAAAACAAAACAAACAAACAAGCAAACAAAAAAACACTTGCTGCTCTTGCAGAAGACCCAAGTTCTATTCCCGGCACCCATACCAGGTAGCTCATAGCTGCCAGTAACTCTAGAGAATATAGTGCCCTCTTCTGGCCTCTAAGGGTACCTACACCCATCTGTGTATACACACACACACACACACACACACACACACACACACACACACACACACACACAGATAAATTATAAGTTTTTAATGAGTTGAGTTTCAAAGAGAACCTGGAGCTGCCATGTTGCTCTCTGTGGGCTTCTGTTCTCAGTGTGCTGGGCACACGGATACTTGTGGCTTCCTCACAGGCTCTTGTGAGATTCAAGTCAATGTCACATGAAGTGGAGACAAATTTTGAAGTATCAGCGAGGTGAGAGTATAAAACAAACACAGGTCCCAGCTCCATTGTGAGACGTAAACACAAGGAGAGGCCCCCAAATTCAGGTCTGAGGAAAAGCCCTGCCGGGGGGCATTTGGAGCTTCTTCTACAGCCAGTAGCATTGGCATGCTGCTTGACTGGTTTACCCAGGGAATGAGGATGACAGATACTTCACTGGCCATCCGGGGTCCAACTCCAAAGGTCTTCGTTAAAAAAAAAAAAATGGTTTTTATTAATTTGGTCATCAAATAGAATATAAGTACAACAAAGAAGTATCATCTGCCTGGTCCATTGTCTTTCTGGAGAGAAAGACACCTGTTTCCTGTTATTAGAAAGTGTCTCAAGTTGCTCCAGGCTTTAATGTTATTTTCACGGAGACTGTGGTCAGACAAGAAGTGGCAATGCCTTCCCTTCCCTGTGGACATGTTTCTCTGGACTCAAAAATGTCAGCTGCTCGTCTTTCAGGAAGCTTGCCAAAGCACAGTCTCTTGCCTTGGGAATCCTGCAGGTTCCCTGTTTGCCTTCAGAACTGATTCTTGCAAAAACCTTTTGCTACACAAGTCCTTCCCCAGTCAGAGACTGTTCAACACTGCTTTATAATTGTTCTTTGTATAGTATTTATTGAATCTAGACTGTAATTGACTTAAAAATGAAAGTTTACTGATTATGTGTAAATAATAGGATGAAAACTGTCAAAATAGATTATGTGATCCATCTACTACTGTACCATAGATACTATGTGTACTGAAAAGCCAGTATTGCTATTTTTATTTTGCCTATCTTAAATAAAAATGCCATTGAAAGTTAAAGATTTTAGGGCTGAGAGATGGCTCAGCAGTTAAGAGCACTGGCTGCTCTTCCCAGAGGACCCAAGTTCGATTCCCAGCACCCTAATGGCAGCTCACAACCATCTGTAACTCTAGTTCCAGGGGATCCAACATCCTCTTCTGTCCTCTGCAGGCACCAGGCACACACATGATGCACGGACATACATGCAGGCACAACACTCATACACGTAAAACGGTAAGTTGTAAGTTAAAGATTTCTCTTGACTTCCAGAATGTGAATGTATACATGCTTATGTATTTCATGGAAAATGAAATGACAATCTGGGAAATGTAAAGTGAATGTATTGCTAAGTAAATTAAAATCATTTCCATTGATGGTATTTTTCAATTGTTTTCTTATCACTCTCCAAGGCTCCTTCTTGTGTGTTATCCCTGTGTACCATTTTAGTAATCAATTTCCCATGTATGAGTTTTAAATAGTGATTTATTGTTTTAATTATGCTGCTGGTATATGTTAGTTCTCCAACATTGCAAAATAAAATGTGCTCCTCAGATCAAACTCCTTGGACTGATGTGCTTTCCTGTCACTGTGCCTTCTGGTCCCCACACGCTCTTTTTGTTTGTCAAACTGGCCTAACAGGTGAAGATCAGAGCTCATTTCACTTTGGTGAGAAAGAATTGCTGCTGTGAGATAATGCTCCTGTACACTGTAAAGATTTGTCACTCGAATTAGATTAATAAAACGCTGATTGGCCAGTAGCCAGGCAGAAAGTATGGACCACACTAGAATTCTGGGAAGAGGAAGGGCAGAGTCAGGAGTCACCAGCCAGATGCAGAGGAAGCAAGATGAGAATATTGTACTGAGAAAAGGTACCAAGCCACGTAGCTAAACAGATAAGAACTATGGGTTGATTTAAGTATAAGAGTAGTTAGTAATAAGCTTGAGCTACCAGCTGAGCATTAATAAGTAATATTAAGCCTTCAAGTCAATTATCTGGGAAGTGACTGCTGGATATTTAGGAACAGGCAGGCAGGAGAGAAACTTCTGCCTACAAATTGCAATGTATCACACTCAGATTACAGACACAGGACCTTGAATTTCTTTATGTGATGAAGTCTCAAAAGAATCCTCCAGGGCTTCTCTGTCGTCACTCTTCACTTTGGTTTCTCTCCTAATATTAATTATCGTCTTTGCTTGATAATTTCCCAGAAGTTCTCAAAAGAGCTCTCTACTTTTTAGTCCTTTAATCCTTGGAAAATGGGAACTTTCTTTTCTTGGGAGAGTTCTTATCTTTGTTGAAAGTCCATGGCGAAGTAGGGCTGGCCACCATTGGTGTGGACCAGACTTTTTCTTTTAGGCCACCAACCAGCCCCCAACTCATGACACAGAGACTTCTTATTAGTTATGAATGCTCAGCCTTATCTTATGCTTTTCATATAGCTGTTATAACTTAACCTGTTTCTCTTCGTCTACATTTTGCCTCGGGGCTTTTTACCTTCCTTTCCTTCTGTGTGTCCTACTTTCACTGTGTCTCATGTCTGGCTGGCAGCTGGCTTCCAGCCCCCCGGGATGTCCCTCTCTTTCTCCCTCATTCCCTTCCTTCTCTCTCCTCTTCTTTCGAGCCTGGGTTTCTCCTCCTATTTATTCTCTCTGCCCGCCTATCCCTCTCCTGTCTAGCTATTGACTTTTTGGCTTTTTATTAGACCAATCAGATGCCTTAGGTAGACAAGAAAAAATAAATGCAGCACATCTTTACATAGTTAAAATAAAATTCTTTAACATTGGTGTCCCCAGGCTTTGCTGATAGGAAAATACCCTTTGTAATGTGTAATAGTCACACACCTAGCTTATCTGTAGATATGCAAGGGGTTTGTATATCCTGCACATGGATCATGAACCTTTCCAACAAGGCCGTTTTAGGAATCATCAACATAATAGAAATAAGCATTCTGCTGCCCCTAAAGTATGTCTAGCTCTTGCCAAATTGAGCCGCCACACACAGCCATCAGAACTTCAGGAAGCATTAGGCTGTGGATGGGCACAAAATCGTATGAAAGCTCTAAGCTAGGAGCAGTGGAGCATGTCTGTATTTCCAGCACTTGGAAGGCAGCGGCAGGAGGAATGCCAGTCTCCATGCCAGCCTGGCCACTTTATAGTGAGGCTTTATCTCAAATACAAAAAGAAAAGGCACTATAGTTTGGATTCCTATGGGAAGTTCCATACATTTTTTTTCTCTTTGCCATCCATAAATCCATATTCAAATTAGAAAATTATAGTTTCCTGACACCAGTTATGGGGAAACCCTGGCACGAGAGAATACGAAGATGATTGTAAATTTGCCCACGTGACTGGAAGATATTCTTATGCTGTACACAATACCTTGATCTTTTCTTCAGAGATGTGAGCAGAATGGTGACCGAGGCTGATAGATAGGTTGATACATAGGAACCTCAGAAAGCCCAATCCACCAACCTTAGCCCAGAGACCTTCCCACAACAGCAAAGGCCTCTTGGTGAGAGCCTCAGACTGAGCAGTGTGGAAATAAAGCCAAGGGTGAATCAGGATCAGTAGGCCTGGGTAAATGTATTTGTGTTGCCATCACTGGTGCATGTGTGAGTGCGTGCATGCGTGCGTGTGTGCGTGCATGCGTGCGTGCGTGCGTGTGAGTAAGTTAAACAGAAAGAGCTATAAATGTAATTCTAACATGCTGGTAAGATCACTGTAGTTCTCTGAATACTCTTCAAGTCTGAGACATACTCACTTCTGATGTGTCTTCCCACTGCCCATGTATTGACTCCACTTTGCCATGTGACTTCATGATCTTTACAGCTATGACTGTGAGTCATTTAGGCTGCAAACCACCTGTTGTTTGTTTGTTTTTTTGTTTGTTTGTTTTTGCTGTCATAGATAGCAGTAATGTGAACTGCTTTGCAAATATAGCTTCTCCTTTTTGAATTATTATTTCCTAATTATGCATTTCTTTTTTTTCAATTTAACTTTTTATTGATTCTTTGTGTATTTCACATCACGCATCTCCATCCCACTCATCTCCCTGTCCTTTCCCATCTACCCTCTCTCTACCCTTGCAAGCCGCCCCCAAAGATAAAATAAAAAACTTTAAAAGAAAAATCTCATCATGAAAGCTGTAGTGTGACACAGTGGGTCTCACAGTTCACTCTTTAGTCTGTATATCATTATTTGCAAGAGTTCATTGCAATGAATCATGGGTCTGGTCCAGGGCCTCTGGTTTTTGCTACACCATCGATACTAGGCCTTCACTGGGGCTCCTCTTGGGTATTCTGTTGTCCTGTGTCAGGGAGATACTGCAACTTTGGGTCTGCAGGACCGGCCCGTTCATGTGCTCCAGCAGATCATAGATAGAGTTGAGGATGGGCTGGACCAACTCACAGCTCTGGTTTGGGATCTGGGTGCTTGCTGGCTTGGTCATTCCACCAGCTCTCCCTCATCCTCCACACCAGGATGAGCTCTCCAGTCCCGCCCTGGCTAGCTCACCCTACATAATCAGCAGCAAGGGGTGAGGCCAGTTCTCCTGTTCTCCTGTCCTCGGGGTTGGCTCACCTCACACCTTACACCACCAGGGCCAGCTCTGCTGTGTTACCCAGGCAAGCTGTAGGGTTCACTCTGCCTAGGGCTGTAGCTGGTGAGAGGCAGGGCCAACTCTCTCCTGTGACCTCAGGGACAGCTCTCTCACC